ATATAATAAAAAAATATGAATCTATCGATTGTACCTTTTTGACACAACGAAATGTCTACATAAAACCTCAATGCATACCTTGCCACGGTCTATTTACAATGGCGCCAACAAAAATGCGTGGAATCCAATGAAACTCGCAATTGATATTTAATTATAGTTTTTTAATCCTTGTTTCGTTACGGCTAAAATGATTTGCGTATGGAATATCAAATCGCTCATCAATGGAGCGGATAATTCATTGACATCAATTTAAAGAGTCATTTAGACGTTCTTTGTCGTAGATGGTTTTTACTAAGGCTATGAAATTAAAAATGTGTGATGAGGCATAATTTCCTCATGTTAATTTTTTAATCTTGGGGTACATCAGTTGTAAATAATAATTAACGATTAAGATTAAGAAAACGTAAAATAGAGAGATAAGATTGTATTCTAATTGGTAGGGAATTACAAGGGCATTCCTTGGTTGTTTTTGAATTCTATTTATATTTGTTAAAGCTTTCGGCAAATAATTGTAGACTTCTTCTTCATTAGACGGAATCAGGTGTACTGTATTGTAAATTTGTATTGTTTTCACCTGATGTTAATAACTCTGCCTTGATAATCGACCAGGAGCGGCGTCGTGGCATGATTGGAGTTGAGTCGGCTCACGAAACATATCTCTAAAAGAGTGCAAATTGTACAGAAATCATGTCTCCGTCTTATCTTTGGGATAAAAAGAAATTTTCCTATTTCACATAAGTTAAACGAGGTTTCTTCTCTCTTAATATGAATAAAAGACGTTTCCTTCATGCCTCGGTCCTATTTCATAAAGTTGTTACCTCTAAATCGCCGTCCTACGTTTCGCACCCACGCACTTTTACAACATTAACATCCGTCGTAAAGATCAATTCAATATTCCTAAACACAAATCCACTAAGTATGAAAGATCATTTTCTTATCTAATTATATATATATATATATATATTTATATATTTTACCATCAGCGGAATGGCATAGTAGTCATCAATGGGAACAGAAAAACTGGCTTTATTGGAATGATTTATGAACATCTCCAATGTTTACGTGTATATAAAATCAGTCAAGATCACTTGAACTCTTTTTCTCCTCAATTCGCACTAAAGGTGGCTGGAACAATAATCCTACAGCTCAAATTATTATTAATAAGAACAGAATTAAGAGGTGGTGGAATAGATACCTAATTGTGTTCCCTTAGAAACGACACCAATATTAAAATGTTCATCAATAAAACATACCAAAGATATAACTAATTTCTCCGAAGAAGAGCACATTTCTTTAAGCGATATGCTCAAAAAGCAAGATATGATAAATTCTTTTGTCCGACGTAATGTGAGTGAGCACATTGTTACTTACATCGGTAGTAAAGAATGTACAAAACACATTGAGATGCGAAGAATGCAGCGGGGCCTTTCCGGAAATTTTTTGGATTTCTTAAATTCATTATTTAACACAAAAGACAAAGGGGAAGTAACATCAGGCAGGCAGTTTCACATCTGTCAAATAATAACGCAGGTGTCCCAAAGCCATCTCAGCTTCCACTCCAATTTCACCATCCCTAAACTTTGCGATTGCAGAAGGAAGATCCTCGATATAGTTAGGACCTTTCAACAGACAGTCATTTAAACTCGGTTGTCCTTCTTCTTTAATGGAAGCATCAAAAACTGGTCTAACAGGAGTAGTTCATTAAAAACAGGATGATGTGGCAGAAAATTACCATCTAAATTTTGGCCTGGATCTACTTCTATTGTCCCTCCTTGCAACCACGACTGGAATTCATTATGATAGTTTTCAAACTTATTTTCCTTTTCCAATCTTTTCGTTGTTGAGTACAGCCTCCTCACTGCGTTCTTGTAATTATTTTTGATAACTAATTTCAGATCAGGATTTATCCACCAAAGTGTAACTTGATACCGCCCATCTTCCTTACGAATTACTGTTTCTTTGAATAATCGGATCGGTTCGGCCTCCTGTTCTATATCTGAGAGATTGTTCTCTTGGATCAATTAAGTCTAGATTCCAAAGCTTACTTAATTCTTTCATACCCAAAAACATCTGTATATTGTCCTGAGCAACGCTGAACCCACTAGTATCACCAGAAATGGGCCATCCAAATAATGTCTCCACGGCAATTAAGTTATTTTCTAACTTAAGAATTTTTCCAGTGATCAGCTTTCCCCAATAATCACTGCCAATCACAATGTCGATTTCAGCTAAAGAATATTCCTGATGACCTCTTCATCCATAGGTTTACTCTTAATAGCTTGAATAGTTCTTTTATTTATGAAGCTTTTCTGACAGCCATCGTCAAAAAGAATTCGAGCTAACACTGATTTTCCTCTTGTTCCAAATTGCACCCTTACAACTATTGTCTTTAATAGGACTTCATTGCTACAAACAACATTCAATCCACTGTTTAGGGTTGCTTCAATATCTTCAGTTGTTTCTATCTTCTTAGGACATTACAGCACTAAATGGTTAACGTTACAATTCGAACATTCCACTGGAACCTGACACTCTTTAACTTTATGACCCTTCCTTAAGCATTTCAAGCAGACTCGTTTCACTTTGATTAGCGTCATCATTTCTTCGTATTTCAATTTACTTTTCTTAGGTTCATGGTTACTTTTGGAACAGAAAATACAAGGTTCATTACTACCGTTTAACAGACTGGCTGCAGTTGCTGGACATTCGACTTCACTTCTTGTGCTAATCATTCCATGACCTTTTTGAGCAGATGTCTTTCCTTCCTTGGTGTTGACAAATCCCGTTCTTGCCAGAGAGATCTGCTGTTCAGCACGAGCTTCAGTTTTTAAAAATTCCATAAGTGCCTCCAATTTGTTTGAATTTACATTGCCAGCACCATCAGTCATTTTATTCTCCGAATACCTTTGCCAAACTCGCAAAGTTTAATCTGGAAGACTAGATTCTACTAAAGGATAGATCCGGGTTGTAGGATTTGCTTTGTCCAAATTTAGGGACTGAAGAGATCTGAAGATGAGACTGTAGCGCAACATCCATCTTGGACAAATTCACCTGCTTGTTCTTACTTGTTGCATTTGGGATCACCAACTTCAGCAACTCTCTTACATAAACTTGGAGAAGAAGATCCTCACGACCATACCTTTCCTTTAAATCTTCAACAGCAGATTTATAACCAGCTTCTCCTACTATCTACAATCGCTGCTGGTTCACTGCCAACCACCATGGACATCTTCAAATAATTGAATTTATGGATTGTCTTGATTTCATTATCGTCATGCAAAGTTTTGAATTTCCCCCAGTAACAAAGCCAATCCTTCAAATCTCCACTGAAACTAGGTAGATTGAACTGCGGTAACTTATACCTCTTCTTCCCACTAGTTCCTGCGACAGGAGTACTTGTGATCGAGCTTCTCTCAACTCGATCGTCATCTCGAGCTCTAGCTACTTTACAAGAAATAAGGCTGAACTTTTCTCGATACACATCAGCTTCATTTGATTCTTCTTGAATCCTTTCATCTGAAGCCTCCTGATTCACCAACACATTCAAAATCTTATCATCAAGTTCCTCTAACTTTGAATGCGCGTCCTGGAGCAAATGATTGTTGGAGTCAATCATGGTCCAATCCAGTTGATTCTCCAGCAACACCACACACTTATTAACTTTCTCTCTCAACGGTTTTCTCGCTTTCTCAGCTTTCTGCATCATGTATCACTTATTACCACTCCGTGCTAGATAAGTTTAACTGAATCTCGGTGTGACCTCTAAAATGTTACGTAACGAGATAAAAACCACTATCGCGCCTAAATTAATTTGTTCTTAAACTTATCTAATAGTGATTTGATCACAAAGATTGCCAGACAAACTATGACGAGACCTTAAAACCTTTAAAAGTTTATTTTATAATATTTCAATCGAATGTGACGTGACAAGACGTTGAGAATTTATATATCTATATGCTCTACAACGCCAGAAGTTTCAATTTGCGATCGGATAGATCGTAATGTTACATATCAAATTATGTTTGCAAACTTTTCCTATCGCGCCCAATAAAAGAGATATTGAGGTGACCCTCTTATCTAGACCGCATTGTATAAACAATCAAATTTTCTAACTATAACAAAGTGAAAAATAAACCTTAACCATTTATCACTAAAAATACCGATATTGATATTAGTTGAATAATTTTGGAACGTTAATCCCAGCATCGTTTTTAAACAGGATATTCAATTCATGGCTACAACGTGCTTCAGGTGTATATAACCCAATTTTCTTGGTGACAAAACATAATTTTTGAAGAACCTGAACCTAAAATCCTCATCTGGTTCACTGTCTGATTATACATCGAAGCAGTTGCTGATTATTCGGGAGACGTAATAGACCCTAAGAGCTCTTTTACATGGGGATACTGTATGCGAGATACGGATCCGAGACACATTCTGTCGTCAGAATTCATGCCAAATATACTTTGCAGACATTGGGCATTCTAAACCGTTCTTTCGCAGCGAGGAGCTGTTTCGGTGAAGTATTTTCAGTGCAGTAGCGTCCTAATGAAACAGTTTCAGATGAACCAATACTCCCATCAGTCTCCAGTCGTAGAATCGCGTGTGTAAACGCCTCCATAAGATGCAATGTTAGATATTACATATTTTATTTTTATTCAACAGAAAGGCAAAGTTTCCAATTCCAGAGCAAAGTAACACTTTATAAGCCGCAAGGATACTCAAAAAATGAAATACATAGTAAGTAACATTGATAAAAATAATTAAATAAATTACTAAAAATATTTAATTAAGTGAGTGGAAAATTGTAATACAAAAAGTTTAATAAAGTATGAACGATTACGGGGCAAACAATACCACTAAAATTAGTTACTAGTAATGCTAATAACTAAGCGTAACTGAATAAATATGCAAAAGTATGTAATTTAACTTATGTATAAATTTTAACCACCTTAGGAATGTTATTTGTATTAAGGTGGTAGGTTTTTGTAAATTGGACAATGGAGCACCAGTTAACTTCCATCACTGAAAATGTTTTAATTACGCATTTTCAGTCGATGGGACAAACTAAGAAAAGTTCCACAATTTGGACGAATTATTCAATACTCCGAGCGATGTTAAGCATTAAACGCAACATCGATATTTCGAAGTTTACCCAGGTTGATTGCATTGCCAAAAACATTTTCTATTCATAGTGTATTATCCGGGAGGTAACGCCGATTTCAACCAAATTTCACAGGGGCCGGGGGGGGGGGTTGTCCCACGATACTAAAAAACCATACCAAACCCACCGCAATTGTTTATAACAAATAAAGCTAATAACAATTTTTATACAATGTTCCATTACAAAAATAAAGGAGGCGCTGTGTAAATAAATCAATAATCTGATTATTCATATGCGCAGGTGCAGTTCTACCCAGCGGCCACCCCGTTACGGTAGACGCCATTTCGCTTTGCACCTGCTGAAAAAACAGACGCTTTACCTTCGCTTCGTTTATCGTTTGTATTCTGATTTTTTCAAAGAAATCATGGCATGTCAGAGCTGCTATAATACACTTCTTTCTTTTTCAGATTTGTGTAACCGCGAACGGGACCTTATTTCTTTTTTGCAGGATCATCTGGTGCTTCCCGGACCCGTTGCCTGCCCCACGTGCAAGAAGGATTGCTACTTGCACGGGAAGATATCCGACTTCGTTTTAGATGCCAGCGTCTGGTGAAAGTACCGAAAACTAGGAAGACTAAAAAGTGCTCGTTCTCTGTTACAGCAGTAAAGAAGGGGACCTTCTTCGAGGGATCTCATCTGGACGTCCCAACCGTGTGTCGATTCGTGCTGGCTCAAGGTTCGCCATCCGAAGAATTTATCATGGAAGAGCTGCAAGTTTCGTCCAGGACCTTCGTCGACTGGAGCAGTTTCTGTCGAGAGGTATGTATGGATTATTTAACATGTCGTTCTGTTCTTTTAGGTGGAGAAGGAGTAACCGTTGAGATCGGCAAGAAGAAGTACAACCGTTGAGATCGGCAAGAAGAAGTACAACCGTGGGAGAAGAATCGAGGACCAGTGCATCTTCGGAGGGAACGAGCGAGACTGGGCAACGTCTTCATCGTTCCAGTTCCGGATCGAACCACGGATACCTTGCTTGAGCTTACGAGAGCACATACGACCTGGTACCTAGCAGACTAGTGCGATGCTAATTTTAACGTTTACATTTTTAGGAACCACAATCATTTCCGATTGTTGGCGCTCTTGCCAGTGTTCAGGTGCCGAAGGCTTCCGTCACGTCACCGTTAACCACAGCTTGACCTTCGTGGATCCCGACACAGGCGCGCACACCCAAAACATCGAGAGGCTGTGGAGAGACGTGCGAGGAGGAATTCCACGATATGGTCGCAGGGAGGCGCATATGTCAGGGTATCTTGCGGAATTCTTGTTTAAGCGTGCAGTTTCTCGGACTCGCCTTATTCATGAATTCATGCGAGCTGCTCCGACCTCTATCCACCACCTTCCCCTGTGCCTATCGGAGAAGATCCCGAGGAACCAGTGGGAGGACCGAACAGTGGGCCGTGATTTCATATTATCGTCAAGTTGTAAGTTAATACGCTTTAATTTAATCGCCTATTGATTAACAATCATTCTTTACAAGTGCCTTTTTCCGTTTTCACTTGCCACATTGTTGTAAACCCATTTTACCAATCCTTATTCTACCGAAATTCCTACATCCTTCCAGGGGTCGACACCTCCTCGTGGTCCTTGAAGGACGGCTGTTCAGTCGACAAAGGAAACCCATTTCCTTAATGACATGTACGTGTATCATGTATTGTTATTTAATAAAATAATTGTGGTTATATGTATATTTATTACACACCTTACCTAATCAAATTAACGATGTACAGAATAAGTTAAAGAAGTGTTCTCACGAACATTTTCTAGGTTAAAGGTTTTTTTTAAAAATTTGCGTTATGAGCAAGTAGAAATTCACCTTTAAAATCCACGCGCTACTTGTGTTAAACAGGTGTGCTTAAGAACTTGCCTACTTGCTTAGGTTAAAAGTTTTATTGAGAAATCACCTTATATCGCCATTAATTACAATTAGTTAAACAAAAGTAGCGATATTAAGCTTATAAAGATAATATTTCCCTTTGATCTGTGCCTATTCGGGAAGAGGATTTCGATATCTTACATTAAAATTATTGAAAAATGAACGCATACGCCACCTATTGCTCAATAGCCAAAGATTTCTCCTGCTAATACATTTTCAATCTTTTTTTTTAAAAATAGGCCATTGCGAAAATTCTATCATTTTCTTCAAAAACAGCCCATTTCCTACACCTTCTAAAAATTTTTTTCGAAAAATACGCTACCCCCCCGGATACAAAACCGGTTTACCCATTTTCGAAATCTCTCGATTTGTTACGGATGCACTGGACCGAACATTTCTAGTCATAAAAGTAACCACATTTTCGCCAATTTATATTAATTCTACAATTCTCTATGTCTGGGATCGTATAGCATCGGCTCTCTACTACTCTACTGTGTAAGTATTGTAACATGTTTTCTAAAAACTATGATATCTTGTATTTGCTAAAGGTTCAATTTTTAGATTTTCATTGTTAATAATTAATATTATAAGAAATGTTAAATATTTTTTGTCTTTGTTATATAGTGTATTTTTAAATTTATTTATTGTTATTCTTCTCAGATATTTAAATTTCTCTTTTTGTTACTTGCTTGCTTATTTGTTATATGAATTTTGTCCGTTAATTGGATACTCATCTGTTGGGCAAAATATACATTATTATTACATTATTATAACTCTTCGTGTCCAACCCACTATAAATCACCACAAGGCCAATTACGAAATATTTTCAAAACTAGTTAAAGTTACGAACAAAGACCCAAAACTGAAAGAGCTCACTTTATACTATAGTCTGAGCATCATCAAAAATATTATACGCCATGCAGAAACACGCATTATTTGTAATTTCTTTATACATATTTCGAGCAATGAAGTAACCAAAAGAGATAGGTGTGCGTTAATAATATTTGCAACGCCGTTTTTAATCTAGCGATCTGAGAGTCCTACAAAAACTTCAGAAGACCATATATTAGAGATGCAAATGAAATTACTTATCGATGTGTCGACGTGTAGTGCCTTCGGCCCGGTGCGGAGAAATTTTGTATCGCAAATCCAAATCGAAGATTTTGGATATACCTACACACGTTATTAACTCACCAGTGTCTGGCAACGCTTTGAATTAAAAATGTTACCTTGATTGATTTTAACAAAAATACCGCTTCCACACGTTGATTTAGACGTTTGAAAGCGATTCGAATGTTTAGATGGGTATGATTTCGAAATTGTCAGCCATCCCGTCGTACACTACCCAAATAACGCAGTCTCGGAAGCACGAATCGATTTTTTTTTAAAGAATATTGGATTAATTTTTTGCGGCGCCAAGTGCAATTAGGGTACGAAAACATGAAGGAGCCAAGAAACCAATTTCCATAAATACATACATGGACACTTAATGGCTTTGATTAAATGGAAAACAACAAGAAAAACATTTTAATACAAAATTGACTCGTTATGATTGATATGGCTCGAATTTCCCAGTTCGATGCATGTTTATAATATAATAGGATTGTCAATCTGCTTTTGACTGACGGTCCTTTATAAATATAGTCTACTATTAATACTGTTTTGTTAAGATACGAGTATAATTGGTAGGGCTACACAGTTTACATAATACGGTAACCGGTAGACAAAGTAGTAGCACTGTTTTAGTTGTTTTCGATTCACATTCTTAGCTGCTATTGTGTAGCGCTTCCGTGTTCTATACATCAAAGCATCATCTTTTTGATACCCACATCAAATAAAATAAATGTTGTGATGTGATACATATATTGCAAGTATTCGGTCGCAAGTTTGTAAACAAGGAAACGTTCATAGTTTAAGATAAAGATCACTAAACTTTTATAGATGTGCGACGCACGTGCTGTATGGGTACAAGTTACTGCAGCGCTTCTCGTATTTGTAAGAAAATATCGTTTCGGGATCTCGGAAACCGTAACCGAAGTCTGTCAAATGGAGTCGAAGCTGCATATTTTGGGTCCGAATCTAACGCTGGTGCTGCTTAGAAAGTAAAGCAATTTTGAATTCGAAAAAAATTCTATTTCTTTTTTCTACAACTGTCAAAAAAACCTGTCATTTTCTGACGAATTTTGAAGCACGAAGTACTAGATTTTTAAACGGTTAATTAATAAGTAAGGTTGCCCTTGACAACGTGCACGAAATCGTCAACAGTGAAAAAAAGTATTTCGCGCACGTGACAAAGTTGAACTTAAACAGCAAATTTAATTAACAATCGGTTCAGTTGTAGAAAAAATATTGTATATAACGCTAGCGCGAAGTTATTTCGCGCATTTGACTGATATTTTAACTCGGCTTCGCCTCGTCAAAATACCTTCAGTCTCAATGCGCGAAATTGAACTTCGCGCTCTTGTTATATAAATAACTATTTTATTATACCTGAATCACAATCTCCGTTTTAAACACTCAAATGCGAGCGAAAAAAGACATTTAAAACACACGTGCTTTAAAGTTGCTAATACTGATACTTCAGGTATGACTTGAAACTGTCATCTGGGGTTGAAATAAAATCCTCTTAGGTCGCTTTCTGTAAAAATAACCGCGCGTAATTTAGGGTATGCTTACAAATCTGTTCCACTTTTTAATCGCAGCATTGTTTGAAGTTTTGAATGAATGCACCAAAAGATAGAAGATTTAAATACCTTTGACATTTCCTTCATATATGCCAGCATTATCGATGCATTTAAGACTTTATTCGTAAGTAACTTCCTATTCATCCATGGAAACAACTTTTCATATTCTTTATAATAGGCTTTACTGGATTTGGATTTTACACCCACCAACGTTTGTTTAGATTTTACAACAAGCGATTTAATGGACGGCGTATTATCTTTTTCAACGGAAATCGTTTTATTCACAAAGACGATGATTTTTATAAGCAAACGTCAAGTGACATTTCCATGGCAATCGTGAAATTACGAACACCCAGCCCACTTAATTAGACATGTATTCGAGTATAACGTCAATATGATTTCATTGTATTTCCTATTTTTAAATTATACTGCAGGTATAATAAGAAATACTATAAGATACACGTGTATAATTGGTCTTTAAAGCACTTGCAACTGGTTACGCGTGCTTTAAAGACTTGATTATATGTACACTTGTGTCTTAATATACTATTTTTCACCACTAACCTATGATGGCATGATTATTAACCGTTTTTTCACTTCTACAGTAGGCTTTCTCGGCAGCTTTTGAATGTGGTTATTAACCACACATGAGAACTGTCACGTTGCTGTCACTTTGAGAGATCACAACCCGAAATTCGGCGCACTAGGTAGGATTTTTCTTTTATCATAGTATATTAAGAAACGCGTGTATAATCAAGTCTTTAAAGCACGTGCATCGGGTTTAAGGGCACGACGCGCATATTATCATAACTTCACTTCTGGTTTTACCGGATATGGATATCAACTTTCTTATTTTAAACAGAACACCGTATATTTTATTGCATTTTCTAAATCTACTTGAAAATCTACGTAGTTTGATACCACATTTCCCTATACCTAGCATCAAAGGTTTTCAAGTTATTGAAAATTTTTGACGTTTGACTGCTTTTCTTTAGCGCCCTATACCTATGGCTCCGTTAACTTGAATTTCAAAAATCTTCCAAAATCAACAACACTGACGTGACGCTACATGCGAATGATTTAAATTCTGATCGCCCTTCTACAGGGTATTTTAAAATTAATGGTCAAGTTGATTTCAACCTACTACTACTACCAACTATAAAATTGTTAAAGTCTCCATAGCTCAAAGGGTTACGCGTTTTAGCCTTTTATTTTAGGTATCGTGGGTTCGAACCCCAACGCCAATAACAAATTTCTCCAGCAATCATCGATGATGCTAAAGTGACGGGTCCATCATGTATGGTGGTGGGTCCAGTATAAAAGTTGACGCACAGGGTCAAGAGCTTGTTTTCTGTGGCTCTTACGATACCGGCCACAACATTCATAAGAGCCGTAGCACAAGTATACTTTGGTCTGAATCCAGATTGGTTAAGATATTAAACTGGCTTAAATGTTTTTGGACAAAGTTATGAGTTTCGTTCAAGGCCAAAAAACAACGGTGTCACACCAACAGTGGGAGGACACTTTGGACAACAGAATGATCGCTGTTCCAAGTTGTTGGAAACAATTTATTGATTGATTTTATTAATCCACTCACGTGTCTGTATTTCGGTAGCTACTGTAAAAGCAGTATAGTTTTACATATCGTCTTCTCATACTGAAGAGCTTGACGAAGAAGAATCTGTACTCATGCGCTCCGCCTCCCTCCTTGCTGGCTCTGCTGACAATCCAACCCCTGAGCAATTACTGTTTTTCCAAGTTCGTCAACGTGTTCATTATTGTGGGGCTGTCAGCGTGTGGGGGAAAAATTGAGGAATTGTATCATTATAGGAACCGGAAACTATATAGGGCTGGGGTAAATATGATTCTCAAGGAGGTGATTGGACACCTCGCCTCTCATACCGCCCTATACCACCACCGGGAATGGATCAATTTTCCCCCCAAAGGCAGAGAGGGAAAATGAATTATTATATTTTTATTATTGCATATTATAATTCCTTTTTTATCGGAACTATTTGAACGTTCAAATTAATTCAACATTTAGGGGCAAGCACTATACACGTTTCAATGGAAACAA